CCCACAGTAGTGAGTGACGAGCTGGAGACCAACATGAGGAAGAGGTTCCAGGCTGTTATGGCTTACTAATGCACCGCTGATTCCTCTGTTTGGTAAATAGCTAATTTGCTAAATTGTGAACTTCAATCACCCAATCCAAATAATAACCCCATATAATGATCAATAGGAGATTAAGCTGTGTGACATTGGCAGAGGAACATTTGGGATGTTTTTCCTATGTGCAGCCAACATATTTAACTGCTCTTGCAGTTAAAGTGGCACCATTTAAAGGTGAATACAGGTTTTCCAACAGGTTTGCTAAGAACCATTATTACCAAACAAAATAATCCACCAGACACTGATTTCCTCACCTTTTATGCTAATGTTATGTCAAAAGCTCAACCCTGTTGACTAAGAAATGTTATTACTTGTTTTTACTTTAAAATCAGGCTCAGAATGGCAGAGAACGAGAGCATATGAGCTGCCTGCAGGTCCTGGAAACAAGACTTCAGGATGCAGCAGAGCTGAATAAGTAGAGTGGGTGACTGCAGCTATTAACCTGGAGCAGTTTCAGCTTTGACAGATAACAGAGACCTGCCTCTAACTAATGATGCACCACAGTCACAGCAACAACTGGCAGCCTACTTGTGAGCAGAAAGATTGGAAATTAACTACGTTTAGGCCAGAACCCCGGCCAATCAGCCATAACGTGGATTTTTATTTTTTTATTTTTTTCTGGAAGCAAACAAGGAGGATAAACAGTTCAACAGGAAAACGGTAATTGTCTCATTTGGCAGCCTTGCAATGGTAATTATGACTTTCCAAGCAGGTGTGTATAGCCTTAAGTGATGAGGCAACTCATCTCTTGCGTCAGTCATCATTTACATTCAAACAATTCAGCTGAATTTTTCCCCCCAGCTCTTTCTTTGTCTACACTGTTTTGGGAAATGGAACAAAGAAGGGGAAAAAAAAAAAAAAAAAAACACTTCTCGCTTGAGGCCAATTTGTCTGAGTGGGGAGGACAAAAAGTGATGCTGGATGCATTTATCAAATATGGCAATTTGCTTAATGGACTCTGACAAAGCCATTGGCGCTCTTTAGTTAGATGCAGATGACTTCCTCCATACTGGCTTCCTCTGTCACAGCTACAAGCGCCTGTTAGGGAGGAGAGAAGGAAGCGCCCTCCTGTTTTAACAGACCCACAGTTAATCACCAACGCAGCCTGTCGGTATATGAGACTGACAGACTACACTGCTTCCTGTGGCTCACACAGTTTCTCATTTCGCATAAAATCTTTTTTTGTAATGCAGCAAAACAGAAAGCAAACAATCGCTCAGTTAAAATTGCGCCACCAGTTTTGAGATGCACTAGAAGAAATGGAGAGGACCAGTGGAAAAGTCTAAAACGTTGTCGGTGAATTATCACATTCAACACACCACTGCTGAGGAGCATCGCTGAAGCTCATAAATGCAGCTTCCTGAGCTAATATTTTCACTTCTTTTAGTTCGACGCTGCTTAATATTGTTGACCATGACTGGATGGCAGAGGAAATTAGGCTGTTTTGTATTCAACTGCTGTTTTGCTTACAGGAAAGTTTTTAGTCCTGGAGGAGCTGATAAGAATGCAACCAGCAAACTGGAGGCACATTAGTTTTCTGCTATTAAAAAAAACTCACAGAGCCTTAGTCTTTGCTGCTGGATATTCATCTATTTAATCACACAGTAGGGCATAAGAACCGCAGCTCGCGTTGTTCGAATCTCATCTCGAAAGGAATATCCCATGGCTACGGTGTGAAAGTATGTGAAATTCTGAAAATATTCGCAGTTTGCTTATTTAATTAACTAAATGTCCATGTTTCCTCCAATTTAGCATTAAAAATATTACATGATTCATCAGGTGTGTTGCAGAATCGTATGCAGCATGTTACAATTTGCGACATCTTGCAATGGTATTTATTCTGCTTTTTCATATTTATTCACATTAGTCATAAGCCTAAAAAAATTCAAAACATTTTGCCCGACATGCAAACACACAGTAGTGAATAACTGTGAAGTAGAAGGAAAGTGATACTTTGTTTTTACAATTTTCTGTCAACTGAAAATTTAGACAGTCGTTTTTATTCTGCCCTCATTTACTCTGATGCCCCTAATGAAGATTAAGTTCAACTAACTACTTTGCTCTGAATTTTCTGCTCATTCCTCTTTACAAAATAAATCTCAGTCTAACTGAATCTAGTGCTTATGTGAACAGCAATTCCAAATCTCACCACAGAATCTAATTAGATTTAGTTCTGGACTTTGACTAGGTTCTGACCATTGTCCCCCATTTTTCCTCCCTTCTGAAGTTAAGCATTCCTACGGCATGATGCTGACACCATTTATGCTACATGCCTACTTTTTCCGTCTTCCATTTGAATACTGCTCAGTGAGATTTCCAATGCTTGAGATGTTGTTTTATAACCAGATCCTGCCTTAAACATCCAGGGTTTGTTCCCCCCTTAATCTTCATGATGACGTTTGTTCACTGATGTTCTCTAACCAACTTGTGATGCCTCACAAATTGAAAGGGTCTGAATAATTTTTCAAAGTGCTCTTTGTGTCCTGGAGTTGCAGTTTTTTAAGGCTCATTAGTGTGCCTCTAATTCAGGGCTGTTTGGAGTCTTAATCTCACTTAAAACCTGCTATACATCATCAAAGACAAAGGGAGGTTCAAGTCGTGATTCTGATCTTTGCTTAAAGCTGAAAGCGTGAGCATCACGGATGGTGCAAACGATCAGCTGGGAAAATGCTGTTCTCCTTAAAAACGTGCACAGTTGAATAGAAATGCATTTTTTAGGGCGGGGGAGAAATCCTGTCGAAGACTTTGCAGTTGATACTAAAGGACATAATCTTCTGTTGCTTCGAAGCCTTCAGCGCCGATATTAATCAAATAATTACATGCAGATTAGTCAATAATTAGGATAATTGTTATTTGTGGCCCAGCTGTTCTATGAAAAAAGCAGAAGTTGCTAAGATTCGTGTTGGTTGGGAAAAAAAAGACAGAAGTGAAAACCAACTGGGATATTCATACATTTGTTTTTTGAGTAATTAGACTCAGGTCCTTTGGGGCTCAGTTTACAGCTGAGATGATGAAGCATTTTGCAAAAATAAATAGAGCAGACTTAAATATAACTTCTGCTTCCTCCGATTCACTAATGGAGACTAATCCTCAGAACTATGGATGCTTTAAATCCATGTCTCTCCGTACCTCGGAGAGATTAACAGCAGCCCACAGGGGGAGAGTTCACATCAGTGCTGGGGATCTACCGAGAGGCTGCTAAATGGTTCATGGACGCCTCCAGCATCAGTATGGAAACTAAATTCAAGCAGAGACCTTCAAAGACAGTCAGACAAATGGCCTGTGGCAGAGACTCTTACATCCCGCATAAAGAGCTTCTCTACATTCAGCTGAGGGTCAGTGGCGGAGCGCCGTTAGATTTAAGGTAGTGTGTTTGATGTTAATGATTTTAGGCTAGGAGAGAAATGAGTCTTTCTTTTAAGATCTAATTTGAGCAGACGGATGTACAGAAGTTTGCTAGTTACTCCACAAGGGACCTAAATGAGTCAGACATTATTTTGAAACCAATTATTTGATGCAAAAAGGTGTAATATGAAGGATAAGCTTAGTGCACCATTACTCTGTCCAAGGGAAAACAAGGCCTGTTAACTGGAAGTGTGCGTGTCCACTCTTCATGCAGATGTGTTGCTTTAAATAGTAAAACAATGCCTTTATGCACATCAGAATAGTCCATGTACAGTTTGCATATCTGGACCTCACATCTGCAGGCAGCACACATTACTGATGACATCTGATGACACAGAGGTCGATGGTTTAATAGGCCGCCAGAGACGAAAGCATCAAATCAGTGTTCGTCGTTGACTTGATAAGACAAAAGCAATCACCGCCGTGCATCTCTCTAATGAAATGAAACAGGAAAACGCAGGATCCTATGTAGAGCAGTGAGCGAATGCTTGTTTGATGGAACAAGGGCTTTATCAGGACGCTGTCACAGCTGGCACGATGGAGGGACATGATTGTTGGCCCCATCTGGATGCGTAATGGGCTCAGAGTGAGAGCCGTGGGGTTATAAATACAAACCTTACAAACCAAATTAACTACCTACAATCCCCGGCAAAGGTACCCACATTTATCTCATTGCAACCTCAGACTTCTGGGTATTTGAATGGGGTTTTAAGTGACCAACTCAAAAAGTGCATAATTTCATATTCATTTTTTTGAAAAATAGCCCAAGCTCAGCCAGATTGGATGGAAGGTCTCTGCTACGAATCCCAATTATATTTTAAATCTTGGCTTTTACTGATCTAAACAGCCATGTCTTCAAAGCTTTGCAGTCACAACAAGCTTCTTCTGTTTTCAGTGTATTCAGTAGTCATCTGTGAGATATCGAAAGCTCAGAATATTGTTTTACAGCCTAATGATGTGGGCTTTTTTTTTTTGCTTTGAACTTCTCCCTAACCTGTTTGGTGCTTTTTCAGTCATCTTGTCTGGTCACAAATATCCACTAATATTCAGGACAATTGCTTAGAATTGATTTTATTTAGAGGGAGTCAGAATATGGATGAGCACCACACCTTTTAGGAACAGCAAACAATGCACAGTTTTACCTTTGCACTACTTTGTGTCTCAGTACCAGTTCGTTAGGGGTAACGTGACAAAATGTGGAGGAGTTCAAGGGAGACGGAAACTTTCTCAAGGCGCTGCAAACGTAGAAAGCAGAAAACAGTGACTTACGGGGAAAACATGACATAAAAACGCAGGATTCTTCTTTCAGAGTGTGCCATTTTCAAATTTTCTGTCCCACTTGCTGTCACTGTTCACTCTGATTTGTCCTTTTGCAGAATTACTCCAGTTCTAATGGCTGTTTCCATGTGCCTTTTTCATGACAGAGGAGGCTGTGGAGCCGAACAGCTTAAGTGCAGCAGTTCATTGAAATTCATGTGGGAAGAGCCTGGAAAAGAGTTCGGATGAGGGCCAATTTCACCATATAAATAAACAGCGCAGAGTGAGAAAGTACGAGAGCTCCGGTGTTATTTTTGATTCCACTGCTTCGGTTTTTTTCTCAGAAACACGGAACATCAAGACTGGGCAGAGACTGAGGCATAGCAGCAAAAGCTGAGAGAGACATGAGGTAACACTTCAGGTTCACTCTGAGTGTGAATGTGGTAGTACCATCAGCAATATAAAAGCTAAACTGTCGTGTTTTAAAGTTGGCCATGTTTTCACCTGCATTCATTGTGAATATTTCTAAATAGATGTGTGCATGAAAGGTTTCTTGGAAGTGTTTCCTCTCTGCATCATAAAAAAGGCATGCAAGACGAGAAAATGTCAACGTGACTTTCAGGCTTTAGTGCAGCAACACTTCAGACAGGCGTTAAAACTACACCCTTTGGTCATGCTTTTGGGATTTTAATGATCTCTTTGAACCATTCTTCTTTTTTATGAGTCTAATAATAATGCTACGAAAAAATTTTATGAAATCAAGAAATGGCTACACAAGATTGAGTTTATCGTGAATATCGAACTAGAACTTCTGCTTTTGCTTTTTCAGATCATCGTGCAAATTTTAATGCATAACCTGAGTAAATACAAAAAGCTGTTCCCAGAATGATTACTTCATTTCTTAAAGAATAGATATTCCAAACCAACCTAACTTAGTGAGAAAAAGTAATATCTCTCCCCAGCCTTGGTAAACCTTTAATTAACTGTAGTTAACCACTTTTTTTTAATTTTATTTTATTTATTTTTTATTTTTTGGAAGCATAGTTCAAGTTCAGTAGCCACACACTGGACTGATTAATCCCAGAACTGTAGAATCAAGAAATAATCAAAATAGAACCTACATAACTGCATGAAGTAGCCTCAACAAACCACTCCAATAGAGCAGATATGTTGAATTAGAGCATCAGTTATTGACAAAACTTTTGTCATTCACTTTTTCTTGGTACTCACTGACACCAGAGATTACAAAATCTGTCTCATAATCAGTTTACTAAAAGCTCTAATGTCAGTTCTGTAATTTTTTTAACCGTTAACTTTTACTTCCAAGTTGCTTAATGCATACTTTCTAAACTTTTGTAGATCACAATGAGTCTTATATCTTGTATTCAAAAGCTCCAGACCAATAGCCTTTCTTTAGTTTAGATTTTTTTTTCTTTGATTTGAGGCACTCTGGTGTAATTACAGTTCTGCACTCACCATGAACATTTTTAAAGTTTGCGTTCAGAATTTTGCTTGTTGTTCAGAATCAGCTTGTTGTTCAGAATCATCTTAGCACATATACAACATGCAATATGTTTCCCGTTGAGCAGCATGTACACTATGATGAAGTGTGCAATGAACACTGACTGTTACAGTATGTGAAAGCAGTCCAAATCTCACAAAGCAAAGACACCCATCAGTAACACCTATCGGTCTGGAAATTTTAGAAAGCGCTTTAGGTCTCACAAACCCACAGTGAGAGCCAGCATCCACAAAGGATGAGGAAAATTACCTTGCAGGAACATCCAACTGTGTCAAGGTTTCAACAATCTGACCCAAACTTTCACCTGTAGATGAAAGAGAAGTGGTTTTAAAGTTGAGGAACAATACAATAACCACCAAGACTACAGGGAATTGAGCACAAGAAACTGCTGAAAACACCGGCGTCGCTGTCCAAATGAGGGACGGTTTCAGATGATATCAGACGGAGACCGTCCTGGCGACTAAAAAACTGGCTGCTTAAAGATGGACAGAAATGTTAGACCCATACAGACATTACTTATTATAATATCAGTATTTACAAATATTATTGTAATTGAAGTAGTCAGAGTAAAGACTTCAAATCTCACCACACTGAAGCTGCCAGTCCATCACAAGGCAAAACAGAGACCCACAGGACAAACAACCGTACACACCCACACTTAAAGTTGAGGACAATTTAGAGAGAGAAGTTCACCTAACAATGATGTTTTTGGACTGTAGGAGAAAAATACCTGTGGAGAAGCAATGCATGAACAGGGAGAACACACAGACTCCATGCAGAAAGAAGCCAGTCTGGAATTCGAACAAGTTGCAAGAAAACCAATTTTATATAAATATATATATATAATTTTTTTTTTTTTCAGGTAAACTAGTGTCATTGTATTTCCTTTTTGATTCAACAATTATTTCAAGCTGCAAACATTTTTGTTCAGAAAAGCTGAAAAAGTTTGGAAACCAACTAACCACAAAGATAGTTTGAATTTCTAAAATAAAACTCGACCTCTCACCACATTCCGTAACTAATATGTACCAGAAGAAGAAGGTGTAAAAAGACCTCCAGGGTCAGAAGACTTTGCTACACAAGTTATGGCATAGTTTTGCAGGTAATATCTTATTTCTATTCACAGCTACACTCTCTTTCATCTACACCTCGGGTTTGAGTTCAACGTCAAATCTGAACTCTATGTTGCCTTTTTTCCATTAGAAATGGGTATGTGTGAACCAAAGTGAACTAAAGGAACCTTCCCCTGTTTCAGGATAGACTTTATTCCATGGCATATCTTGACAACAATATGAATACCTGCAGCTTTACTTCAACTGATATGGTTGTGTAGGTTAATTATATTAATAAGGTGAACTGAAAAAGTATTCACGTGTCACCTGATTCCCTTTCTTTGCCCCCGATAGTCAATTCGAAACAATTTTCAACTGATTATTGAAATGATTTTCAATAGTCAATTTTATAAATAAAATCTGAAAAGTGTGGCATAAGCAAAACATCACCATGGTCGCATTTTATCCTTTCTATTGCACCTGACTGAGCTTGCTATTTACACGGAAAACATTTTCAGTCAAACGTGCAACAGTGGAAGAGACATACCACAAAAGACTTCAAGCTGTAAAATCAAGAGGGAGGTTCGCTGTAAACCATGATAACGATGATCTTCAGAAATAAACAGTAAATAAAGGGTGTCTTCTAAATTGAGAGAGATGGACAACAATGACCCCTGGCGGACATGGAAATATGTGCAAGTGCAAAGGTCCGGAAGTTAAATTAAATAGAGAGCAACAAACAGTTGTGAAATTGCACTGTTGACTGAAAACGCTTCATTTTTAAATCAATAACATTTATAATGGCATGGCATTAATAATGGCTAAAACTTAAACTAACAAACTTGCTCAGGGTCGGATAAAACTGTTGCTTAGCAACCAGTCGTCAAACAATCGCTTGCGTGGCCCACAGAACAAGAAAAAGAACTGAATGCTTTAAGCTACCGTCAAAATAACAAATTCAGGGAGTTTTCTGTTTTGCTTTGCCATTAGTTTTATAATTTTTTTTCATATCGTTTCCTGTAAATACAGCTTCATCTACAAATGGCAGGGAAGAAGAAAGAGGCAAGCCTGCAGGTTGGATAGAGACCAAATAGTTTATGTTAGTATCTCTGCCTTCATTTGTCTTTAATTTGTAATTTTGTTGTTCAGGCATCAGTTATGAACCAAGAACAATGGGAGGAAATGCTTACTACCAAAGGTTTGACAGGTAAGCTTTAAAAGGTTGCTTGTGATTGTGTGTCCCTCCTTTTTGTGTCTTTAAAGTTTTTGTTTAAATCTATAACAGATAGGCGGAAAGTAACTAATTACATTTACTCAAATTACTATAATTAAGCACAGTTTTTCTGCACCTCTACTTTTTAAAGTTGTTTAAAAATCTTTAATGTACAATTTTAACGAGGTACTTGTCCCATTTTACACCAGTTTGTTTACTCGTTCCACCTTGGCTGACAGAGATGCCCAGTTATGCGTTGTATTATGCTGCCCCCTTGTGTTCTTGGGTATAACTGCAGACGGAATCGATGCACCATCACTAATCTTTTAAGTTTTTTGTCTCAAATACAGAGAAGAACAGAATGAATTGACAGCCCTGGTAAAGACGTGTAGAAAGTTTTTACGTAAATAAATTAATCATGAATTACAGTGTCATTGATTCACGTGGACATTTTTGGGGAAAAGAACGTTTTAATGTGAGGCAAAGGCTCCCATGTTAAGAAATTGTTTATTTTAACAAAACTACAGATTTCCCGAGAAATTTTAATTATTATCCTACTGTGAAAATACATGAATCTAGTTTTATCCTTTTGGTATCAGAAAGTTTGTCCAGGTACTGTCACTGTTCTCCTTGTAGTTGTGGATGTTTACCAGCAGTGGTGCGGCCCCTGTCGAGCAGTGGTTAGTCTCCTCCGAAAGATAAAGAACGAACTCAGTGATGACCTGCTGCATTTTGCCACTGTGAGCTGCGTTTTAGTTTCAAAATGTATATCTTTCAAACTTGAAGGCGACACTAGCAGAGGAGCATCGTTTCATGTGTTTGTGTGACACAGGCTGAAGCTGACAGCATCGATGCCCTGGAGAAGTATCGAGGAAAATGCGAACCCACCTTCCTTTTCTTTGGAGTCAGTGTGTGTTTCTGCGACTTCTGTTTGCATGCTTACACTTGTTTGAATATTTATACATTTTTATGATGTATTTTCTAAAAATTCCACATAAATGGCATATTCAGTTCCATTTGTACTCCAATTCACAGTGTTTTTCTATTTTTACCATTCTACAAATTGGCTCACCAACTGTCCCAGTTTATATTTTCTCTTTTCCCAGGTCAGAATCACTAATTATTTTGTGTCCTGATTTAACTTAACAGAGTTATACTTATTTACTTAAGTCTGTAGGCTGCAGTAAACAGAGGTTTTATATTTGAACTAAATGTGCTGACTGGCTGGGTTTGTGCTGCATGAGCAGGGTGGGGAGTTGGTGGCTGTGCTGCGAGGGGCCAACGCTCCGATGCTCCAGAGGATGATTGTGGAGGAGCTGGCCAAGGAAAAGCTGGTCATGGAGCAAGGCAGTGGTCGCAAAGTGGTGAGCAGTAGAACAATGATAGGCACTTGCCCTGCTGCTTGAAGATAATATTACTTTAGAGCTTTTAAAAAAAAACTATAAATCATGCTTCCCCCCCCCCCCCTTCTTTTTCAATAAAAAAGTTTTTTGTTGTGTTTTATTTTGAACGGCATATTAAAA